AAAATTCAGTGATGGATGAGATTCCAGTCCATAGGGAACCTTCCACATGGCCATTGCTCATGTTCACTCAGTGAAGCCAATTCTGGGACTCACTGTGCAAAGTCCTGCACCCAGACAATTCTTGTCTACAGGCCCCTCTGTGCACCTGGCACAAGTGTAACTAATGCAGATGACTCACATGAATCTCATATTAGTAGGATGAGTCTAGGCTTAAGTGGCTTTCCAGAAGCAGTTTTATAGGAATACTGACATCTAAGGGGTACCAGTGAAGTCTCTACCAGAGAGATTCAACTTTCTTCTTTATCTAGAAGAGGAACAATTCAGATTAGGGTGGACCCTGATTATTTTGAAAAGGGGACCAAGAATGAAAGCTGGTGGGGTTTACTTGGTAGCTCTGAGCTGGTTAATCAGCCCACAGATTTGATTTTGATCCTCATGGCCCCTGACCAAAGCATGCTATACTCTTTTGGGGTGAACAACATCACACTGGTGACAAACAACCTGAGGACAGAGGGGAATCCCAAGTCTGCAAGGTGTTGGAAGAATGAGAAGTGCTGTGTGACACTGTGCAACTGCAGAAAAAGTCAGACTTGTTTCACTGTTGTTATATTGGATTTCCAGCTTAAAAAAAAAGTGTTTTTTTTAAATCTGTTTTTGTTTAAACTTTTGGAATCACCTAACAGGAAAAAAAAAGGGGCTTGAAATTGTTACTGGTTTCTGACTAGAGTTCCCACTATACTTTATTTCTCTCCCTAACTTAAGTAGTAATAAGGGAAGCAGCAGACTCAAGCCAGAATCTCATATATGACCTGGTAAAAAGACCATTTGGTTTTCAGACCTGCAAAAAGATGGCTGAAATGAGGCCTGATTTGCCCATACTCAGACAATGGGAAAAACTAATTTTGCAGATATGTATGCCCAGCTGTAATCTTGAATTATATCGATTACTGACTCAGTGAGATTTTATCCTCTCAACTCCTGGCATAGAAACTGAGCATGAAGATATATGAGTTTACCTTAAATTAGCTCACTTAGACTGTATTAGCTATCAGACTGGGTTGGTACAGGGCTAGATGCACTTTATCACAGTACTTTGGCCAGCGTGTTGCACTGTGACTTGGCACCAGGACTGCAAGAGCAGTTAGAGGTTTAAGAAGACAAATACATCTTGAGGTGTATAACTGAAGACAAAAATACGTGCACAGGAGTGGGACAGAAATACACAGAACTGAGATTACAGAGTTGTAGCTGTTTGGGCAGGTCTTTTTCTGCTGCCTGGGTGACAATTCTGGCTTCCAGAGACCAGTGTCTGGAAGGCATAGCTGAAATATAAAGCCATCTTAATTCTGTGCTAAGGTTCTATACACAACAGGGAAGACTTTCACCTCCCAAGTGAAGTGGTGCAGCTACACTACTGCAGGATTCAGAACCAGATTCTGTCATGTATGACACCTGGGAGCACAGGACTTCCTGAGATAGCACTGAAGGCAACAGGAAATTGCAGTACACAAGGAAATTATGGAAACAGAATTAGCCTCACAAACAGCACAGGACTGACTTGGTACTAATCTCATTTTATGCCTTATTTCCAACATTACATCACCGAAAACACTGAGCTTTGGGGGAAAAAAAAAAAAAGAGAAAACATCCATCAACTTCAACTCTGCTGGCTAATCGTTGAATAATATATCACACAGAGAGAAGTTTATTACTGCAAAGTAGTAATCTTTAAAACAATGACAGAAAGCCATCAAGGGTGTAAACACCATCTCTAAAATTACCTTTGATACAATTGAATTTACAGCAACTTTGCGGCTCCACAGGGACATCTAACCCAGATTCTCTCATGGAAAAGCAGACGGCTTTCCAAGAGAATAGATAAATCTCCTGCAAAGATTTTGATTTAGTTCATCTGGTATTTCTTGTTTGGCTATATATTTCAGTAAGAATAAAAGTACC